CCCCCCCCCAACCCAGAGTTAAGTCTTCTCACTGTGTTACCTTGTTCTGCGGCTTCTCTGAGTCGTACTCTCCCTCCTGCATCGCGGTGGCCATTTTGTTCATGGTGGCGATGACCATCCCACAGGACTGTCGCAGATACTCGTAGGGGTTGGCGCCCTGAGATCCATAGATCTGATAAGTGGAAATGACCAGTTTTCTCAGTTAATTGAACAGAAACTTTCCAGGAATCTAAATATATATTTCTCATCATGGACCTCGCCATTGTTCTTTCTGCTGTCATCAACGTCGTGATGTACGTACCTGTTCTCCCGCCTTGAACGCCACATCCTCCAATTTGACGGCCGACAGCCCCTCCTGTTCACCGAGAGGCGACATCATCTGAGCTCCGGCTGCCGCCACTTCCTGTAGCACCGCCACCACCCAGGTCAGGTGCTTCCTGCAGTCTGACAGCGTGTCCGACACCTGCGCGGGGGGGGGGGGGCGTTCAAAAATCAGTGCGGAGAATATTCTCATAAATAAAATAAATAATCCTCCATTCTGCATCGATCAAAATACACAGAGTGAAATCTTTGCAAAATAAACCGACATAAATGTGGGAGTGACGAGGTTCGGTTGCCACGGTTACCTGATGGCCAAAGTGGAGCGCGGCCGGGATGCCGGGCGCGTCCGTTCCCGGCATCCGGCGGCGGATCTTCTTGCAGAACTGCCGGATGTCGCTGCAGGACGTCTCCAGGTCTTTGAGCAGCACGGCGAGGTCGGCCTTCTCCTGACCCGCGTGCAGGAACGCCCGCAGCCGACCCACCTCCACCGCCATGCAGTCCAAGGCACTCTGGGTAAACTGCAAATGAAAAACACGGCTCAGTTATTTGGTTTGTAACTATTCACACACAAGCTAAACTAAAAGGAAGCAGAAAGAAGCTAATCAACAACAAAACTGATGAACAAGTATAATATGACTTTTCCCATCATTTTTTAGAGGCGGTGTTTTTTCTCTCTCAGCCTGTTCGATGTGTCGTTACTCACTCTGATGTGATCAGCGAGCTGCATCGTGCAGTCTTCACTCTGATCTGCCAGATGGATACTGTACAGGTGCTGCAAGATAACAGAGATTTAACGTTTAACGTCATTTTCTACATTACCTTTTTTAAACAGTGTGTCAGTGTGTGTGTGTGTCGTTGTGTGTGTCGGTGTGTGTGTGTCGGTGTGTGTATCAGTGTGTACCTGATAGTATTTAATGGCCTTCGTCAGCGGCTCCACGTTGACCGTCTCGTCCAGCTGATCTTTGTGCAGCAGGTCAATGAGGAAATCCAGCGATCGTTCGTGGACGCTCATCTCAGGGTACAGAGAGCCGATCTTTTTATAGACATCCACACTGCACTGAGACAGAGCTCTGACACACACACACACACACACACACACACACACACAC